TTTAATGTGTTTTTAATATTAAAAATATATATAAGTATGTATTTAATTAGCTTCCATTCGCTGTTACTTATCTTTTTTATATTTTAATTAAGAATTTATGTTCACAATGTTATTTTCTCGTGAGAGCGATTTTAAACACGTATATCCACTATGAGATCAAAGAACATTTAGATAAAACTTATTTCTATAAGTTAAGGGTTAATAATATCAATTGTTCATTAATTTATCACATTCGAAAAGAAATATTACAACAAAACTTTTATTCAAACTTTTGCAATAAAAATATTCAATTTCAAACATTGAAATAATTTCAAACATGCAACCATTGAATTTTTGAAGCTCATATCAATATACATGATCAGAAATATTGTCAAAATTATTGGTATAAAATTTTGGACATTTATCTCTAACAGATAAAAAGTTTTAGATTTATGATCAGAAAACGATAAAAACTTTCCACTGTGTAACGATCCATTCCCGTTTGGATCTTTTCCGTTTTATGCGAGCTCAATGTATTTGTTTTGGCGCACTTGAGAGAGATCTCTCGTTTGTTGTTGTTTTTGAATCTGTTGTTTGTTTATTTATTTTTTCTTTTGTGCTATTATCTACACAATTGTTTTGTTTTGGCGTACTTGAGAGAGGAGATCTCTCGTTTGCTGTTGTTCTTACACTTAAATAGTTTTTATCATCTTTTGGATCATAATTATTGTTGTTGTTGTATGGAGAGCATCATAGCAAAGTATGTATTTCTTCCATTGCTACTGAGCATCCTTTCACTTGTTGTAGATTTAGAGAAACTCATGCACAATAACACAAACACTACACTTTATTTAAGGTTTTGTTGTTATTATTTTTTTTTGTTTTGCTACAATATGTTATTGTTAATAACTGCATTAACAAAAACGACAACTTATTTGATTTAAATGTATTTTTAATATTAACAAGTAAGAGTGCTATATTCGGCTTTGCCGAATCTTATATACCCTTCACCATAGTGTATTTAATAAATATAAATTTCATAAAATTTAAATGTACATATTTCATTTTCCCGACTATATCATTATTATAGCAATAGCAAAACAAAATGAACAACAACAACGCTAAACGAAATAACCACACAAAAAACAAAATACACAAGGCAGTAAAACCAACAGCATCCAAACATACGAAACGAAGTACATAAAAAAATACACAATGCAATGAAACCAACAGACATCCAAACCAAGGTTATATTAATTATAAGGTAGTGTTAACAGAGCAGCTGATTGTTTTTTGCTAATACACTTTGGATTTTTTTTATATGTAGTTTGACAGTGTGCTGGCACTTTGAAGTGTAGGCATGCTGTCAAACTCCATATATAAAAAATAAAATGAATTCGCTCCGTATTTCTGAATTCGCCGACGACACTACCTTATAATTAATATATCTTGATCCAAACATACGAAACTGAATACGCCAAGAAACAAAAACAATATACACAAGGCAATGAAACACACAGCCATCCAAGCATACAAAACGAAATATTCACAAAAAAAAATATATACAACGCAATGAAACCAACTGACATCCAAACATACAAAACTGAATGCACCAAGAAACAAAAACAATATACAGAAGGCAATGATACACACAGCCATCCAAAAATCCAAATATTCGAAACCGAATACACCAAGAAACAAAAACAATATACACAAGGCAATGAAACACAGAGCCATCCAAACATATGAAACGAAATACTCAATGAATAAGCAGTGTTGTTGTTGCTATACGTATATCAAAGCATGGAAAAATTTGTTTTTTTATGAAATTTTCAGAGGTTGTCTCGGATTTTTGCTCATATCTCCGGTATTTATGGACCGATTTTGCTGATTTTAAATAGCGATCTAACATGCGATCGAAAGCATGTCTAACAGAATTATAGAAGACTCGGATCTCGCCGATATCTGGGGTCCTCTAAAAACTGATTTCAACAAACACACAGAAGGACAGACATACAGACAGACAGACGGACATAGCTTAATCAACTCCGCTACCTATAAGGATTCAGAATATATATACTTTATGGGGTCGGAAAATTATATTATAGAAATTACAAACGGAATGACAAACTTATATATACCCTTCTCACGGTATAAAAAAATATATAAGTATGTATTTAATTAGCGTCCATTCGCTGTTACTTATCTTTTTTTATATTTTAATTAAGAATTTATGTTCACAATGTTATTTTCTCGTGAAAGCGATTTAAAACACGTCTATCCACTATAAGAACAAACAGATATAACATCTTTAATAGGCAAACTTCGTATAGGTATTGCCGAACAAAGTTTACTGAATGTTCTGTCGACAGGAATTGTGAAGGCCAATAATGTAGATAATCTGAAGAAAATGAGTGAAGATACATTAAAAAATAAAATTGAAAACCACGTACTGCCAATGTCCGAATTATGATAAATACCGGAGATATGAGTAAAAATCCGAGAGAACCTCCACAGAAAAAAATAATTTTAAAATTTTAAAAGGGTTCAATTCATTTTGTATTTGAATTATAAATGTTTACGCCAAAAAACAACATATAGCTATTTTCTTTGATTTTCTATTTTTCCCTGCAAACCCTATGCTGATTGCTATGTGTTGCAGTATACAATTACTTGTCATAATGTTCTAAAAGAAATGTCATAGTTCGTAAATATCACAAATGTTTATTTGGGCTCAGATCAAATTCTAACTCCTAACCACAGGGTATACAGAGGTGTCACGAGCAAAAAACTATTTCCCTCTCTTTCGCACAAAACGAATTCAATAATTTTTTTTGGCTGTATTTTATATACCTCTTCTCACCAAACAATTTCAAAATCAAACAAAAGCTGATTTTAGACTTTTTTAAATGTCAAAAGTGACACCTCTGTATACTTTGTGCTCCTAACAATACAGTCCACCTATACTTGGTTAGAAATCCTTTGTCCAACAGTTTAATAAATATACATAGAAAAAATCCTAATTCTATTGTTTTATTTCTTTTCCTTTTCTTTCATTTATTAAATTGTACTGAGTACAAAATCATTGGGATTTTGTTTCGGCTCAGAGAGTTCAGCATATTTTCCTTTTCTCCAGCCTTTTCCCTCTTACTTAAGAGATTCACCCAAACATTTGGTCCAGTCGAACCGGATTTATATTGGAAGTTCATATACTCTCTGAGATTTCAACTCATATGTGGATTTCCTACCAACAAATTGTACAATATATTCTTTTATTCACTTCTCATGAACAACAACATACACAGGTTATTTTGTTTTCTTTAATTTGCATTCCTGTTTAGTACAAAGTGCATAAGAGTGTTTGTTAAGTGAACAAATTGTCCAGAATAAATAAACCTAGTGTGAGACCTACTACATTGATTTTAATTACTTCTTAAAGAGAAAAAAGTTCCAAAATATATTTTTAATAAAAGCCGACGGCATTTCAGTTTATTTGCAATTATTGGAATTTCATATATTAGCAGCATAATCTGTCGGTAAACAATTACATTGTTTCACACTACCTAGCTAAAATGTGTGTCTTTTCCTTTAATTTTACCCATCGCAAATTTTAACAACAAACTTTCTTTGGTTTACCCATCGTAGGATATGTTATTCGTATGTCGTTATATTTGCTCTTCTCTACTTCGGCTATATTAAAATATTAGTTTTATTTCATTTAGATTTCGCACGTCCTCTTGATGTTCATAACAGAATTCTCTTTTTATTAATCCAATATTCATTTGCATTACGATTTCCTTTACCTATAATACATACACACATTTTTTGTTATAAAGATCTTGCTCTTATTCATTTCCAAACAATATTATTTCTGCTTGATAATATTACATACAACTGTCCACTTCAATTTGCATGCGTTTGTTTGATTGTTTATTGCACTAACCAAAGTAAATTAATAAAGTAGCATCACTTGAACAGCTGACTATTTTTTTTAAACTAGATAAATGAAGCAAATTGTCAAAGTTTGTTTTGAAAATTGTTAACATTGTTTACGTCGCCATTTTTAAATTGTGTTTTGCTATTTGTTAAAATTTGTGAAAAGTTGAAAAAGTGAATTAAAAGTGGTTTTAAAGTAGTTTAAAAGTGTAATAAATTGTATAATATATAATAATATAATTAAATCGTTAATATTTTTAACTTAAAAGTAATATTTTTTATTTATGTTTTGTTCACATTGTTGTTCAAGGAAATTTTATTTTGACACAATCTTAAATTATTCCAAAAACAAAATACATGTGGTTGTTGTAGATGTTGTTGTACAACAAGAGATGTCGCTACTTTATTAATATACTTTGGCACTAACCATCATCCACAAGAATTACAAGAATATCCACACACAATACTTATTTTCCTTTTTTCTTCTTTCTCCTTTTTTCCATACGCAACTGATCAGTGTTAACTCTTATGTGATCGTTGAGGTCACTAATGTCTTGTACCATTTTTTGTTAAATAATCAATATATTTCCATTGATTTCTATTCTTTTGATTTATTATTAACTGGGTCCTTTTACCAATGGCGAAATCATTAAATCGGTGGCCTAATGCAGGACTTATGAAATCCGAATTCCTGGTCTAGCCTGTATTCCTAACGCTAAAATCCTACTCCTTGGGTTTTGCTATGCTTTAGAAAAGGCATATGCAGCCGCGCTAAACTTCCGAATAGCTAACGGTTCTAAGATTTCCAGTCACTTTATTGAAGAAACAGTTCTACATGCAATATTCGATTTTGCATATTTTCCAATGTTTAAAGTTCCAGAACTGTATTCCAACTAGAGATGCCAAACGGGAATTCCCGAATCCCGAAATTCCCGGGATTTTCGGGATTTAAAAATCCCGAATTCCGGGATTTTTTTATTTTAAATCCCGGGGATTTTCGGGATTTGATAATCCCGTTTTCTTTTAATTTATTTTGTCAATAATAATATTTTTTGTGTTCATTCTGTAAAAAATTTAAAATTTTTGATACAGCCTGTAAAGAAAATGTCAAAAAGCAACTTTATTACACTATTGTCTATAAATACAAATTGAAAACTTAAGAAAACAAAAAGAGAAAATAAAATTTAATTTATAAAAATAACAACGAACTATGAATTTTGTGGAACATAAAACCAAAAATGGTGACAAAGGTTCGGATTGGCATTACTTTTTGATTGACTCTAATGGCTCTCCAAACGCCAAATGCAAATAATGCCACAAAATCTTAAAAACCAGTGCCGGATCAACAAAAGGTCTTTTAAAACACATAACCTGTGTAAGAATATGGCAAAAAATCATTGGAATAATAATATACATATATTTAATTTTTTAGGTTCATTTAATTAAACTTCAAAAAACAGTTTGTGATGAACCACAGCGAAAGATTAAAAAAATTACAGATTTTGGATTTTTACAGCATGAGGACACTTTTCCTGCGGTTATAAGTCGTTTGGTCGCACTTGATGGTCTACCGTTTTCCTTATTTATAACATCTAAAGAGCTGCGTAAATCACTACAAGCTCGTGGGTTTGATGTCCCAAAATCTAAAGAAACCATCAAAAGCAAATTCCTGGAATTCTATTCCAAGTGCAAGGAAAATATGAAAGAAGAAATTTGTAAAATAAAAACAGAAGGTAATAAGTTTAGTATTACTTTTGAAATAAACGGTACATTAATATCATTGCTCACACAAATGGACAACTTCTTAATCTGGGTTTGGTTAGATTAAAGAAGTCCGGTACGGCTGTTAATTGCATAAATTGTATAATTGATAAACTCAATGAATTTGAAATTTCTCTGTCATCCGACGTAGTAGCTTTTACCACAGATGGTGCATCTACCATGCAGAAAACAAAACAACAACTTTGTTTTGCTCACGGTTTGCATTTGGCGTTAATAGATGTTATCTATAAAAAAACTGCAATTATATTTCCAGAAGAAGAATTCTCATCTGATGATGATGAGGATGTTGGTGATTTGGAAGTTGTTAATCCGGAAGATATTTTTAAAGTATGTTCATATGAAAAAGAAAATAACATTACTGACAATTTTCATGTTAAGCCATTAATTGACAAAATAAGAAAAACAGTAAAAATGTTTAGAAAATCGCCTACAAAAAATGATATTCTACAAAAATATGTGAAAGACGACAAGGGAAAAGAACTAAAATTATTAATTGATTGCAGAACAAGATGGAATACTTTATTCGAAATGTGCCAGCGATTTTCAGAATTAGAAATTCCATTAAAAAAAACCTTCATAGATTTAAAGTGTGAACAATTTACTGACGACGAATTTCGTTCAATTAAAAAAATTGTTAATGTTTTAAACCCAATAAAAATCACTCTAGAGGCATTATGTCGCAGTGACATGACGCTATGTAAAGCTGACGCTGCATTAACTTTCATGTTGAAGGAAATATCAGCAATGAAATGTGATATGGGCGATGATTTATGTATATCCCTCAGAAAAAGAATTGACGAAAGACGTTCTGTATATTCCACAATCCTAAACTTCCTACAAAACCCAAACATCAATTCTATATTTGACCAAAATGTGGATATCACCAAAATAAAATATGAGATAAAAAAATTAAACTTACGTTTAAATCAAGATGAAAATTCTAGTGATTCGACTGCAGGGAATGAAATAAATATTGCATCGGACGAGGAATTAGAAGATGATAATGTGTCAATAGCCCAAAAATTGCAAAATGCTATTGATCAATGCAAAAGCCCCATAAGACACATTAGGAACACTGACGAAGATGAGTTCAATTCAAAGCTAAATAACGAAATACAAATGTTCGTATCTGAAGGTATAAGGGGAACAATTTTAAATATCACATACAAATACTTGCAGACTATTTTACCAACCAGCGTAGAGTGCGAAAGGTGCTTTTCTACAGCGGCCTACGTAGGAAACAAAAAACGTTCCAGATTGTCTGACGAAACGCTAAATGCGTTGATTTTTTTAAGAAATTATTTAAAAAATTAATATGTACTTTATTTTTTCCTTAATTTTTACATAATAGCTTTGTTCCCTTACTTGTCATGTTTGCAGGTTTTTACCAGAAATTGTAAAAGAGAACAAAATTGAGAAATAAAAATTGTTTTCTCTTTGCCAGAACATGCAGGTTTTAGCCAGAACATTTTTTCCTGGCAAATAGAAAAAAATTTGTCAAATAAATTATTTGTTTATAAAAATACATTGAAAACAAAAACTGTTTAAAATTTTTGATTTATTTTGATAAATAAGTATGTGTGATTGTAGTTTTTCAATTTTATTTTAATTTTAATAGAAATTTGTATGAATAAACTTCAATACAAATTCATTGAAAGAGAAATTTTGTTTTTTTTTTGTTCCCGTACTTTTTACAAGTACGAAGAGAAAATTCATTAATTCTCTATAGCCAGAAAAGTTCTGGAACAAAGCTAATATTTATGTAGATCTTCAATGTGACTTATCAAATTTGAATTTTTATTTAAATTATTATTTTTTGTTAATACTTTTCTAATGTACACTAACAAATATTAAAATATTTGCTTTATTTTTTACATTATATTGATGTAGATCTCCAAATGTGATTTATGAATTTTTAATTTTAATTGAAAAATAATTTATGTTAAACTAATGTACACTGATAAATATTATTAATATTACATTATTTGTCAGCAATGAACAATATTTATGTAGGTCTCCAAATATAAGTTATGAAATTTTACTTAAAATAATAAATTTTTGTTAATAAAAGTGAAATATGTTATTTGTTTTAAGTATTTTGACTTAAAAAAACTTTTAAATAAACATTTTATAAGAAAAAATTCCGTTTTTGTGTTAAAAGTGTGAAATTTCCTGAATTTTTGTTCGGGATTTAGAAATCCCGGGATCCCGAAATCGGGATTCCGGGATTTTTTAAAACCATTCCCGATTGGCATCCCTAATTCCAACTTTATCCAAGCACATCGTATATCCATTTCATTTATCCATATTTATATTCCAATGTTCACGACACAAACCACTCTAATTTCAGATTTCCAATGCACTTAGTAGTAAGCAACATGAAAACAAACAAACCTGAATTTATTCCTAACTTAATATATTGAATTCCATAATATTATATTTTTTGTTCCTTTCAAAATTAATATTATATTTTCAAATTCCATTTTTTATTTTTTAGTATGATTTAAAATCCTGTATTACTGATACTATGCCTAAGCAATATTTCATTCCTTTCTCCTAGCAAAAATAAGTATTTATGACTTTCTTCCTCCATTTTTCTATATGTATACTGCAAGGCGGGCGGTAATGTTTACGCCAAAAAACAACATATAGCTATTTTCTTTGATTTTCTATTTTTCCCTGCAAACCCTAATTAATTATTACATATACAAATGCTGATTGCTATGTGTTGCAGTATACAATTACTTGTCATAATGTTCTAAAAGAAATGTCATAGTTCGTAAATGTCATAAATGCTTATTTGCGCTCAGATCAAATTCTAACTCCTAACAATACAGTCCACTTATCCTTGGCACAGGGTATACAGAGGCGTCACGAGCAAAAAACTATTTCCCTCTCTTTCGCACAAAACGAATTCAATAATTTTTTTTAGCTGTATTTTATAAAGCTCTTCTCACCAAACAATTTCAAAATCAAACAAAAGCTGATTTTAGACTTTTTTAAATGTCAAAAGTGACATCTCTGTATACTTTGTGTCCTTGGTAAGAAATCCTTTGTCCAACAGTTTAATAAATATACATAGAAAATATCCTAATTCTATTGTTTTATTTCTTTTCCTTTTCTTTCATTTATTAAATTGTACTGAGTACAAAATCATTGGGATTTTGTTTCGGCTCAGAGAGTTCAGCATATTTTCCTTTTCTCCAGCCTTTTCCCTCTTACTTAAGAGATTCACCCAAACAATAAAAATGTATAATCAAATACGTATTTAACAACAACAGAAATATAAAACAAGAAAGTGTAGTCGGGCGTGGCCGACCATATGATACCCTACACCAGTTATGAATATTAAATGTGATTTATTTTTCATAATAAAGCATTTATCTTCAATATTCCCTTGTTCCGATACATTTAAGCAATTTATGGATGAAAAACTAATTTTCTGAAAGAGGCTTTATATGGGGGCTAGGGGCAAATATGGACCAAGCCCGATAAAATTTTGTGAATATATTGACATAATATTTTATTGTGCTGAATTTCATCGCGATATTTGTGTTTATAAGCTAATTTGGGACATTCAAGTAATTTTCTGAAGGGGACTTTGTATGGGAGCTAGGATCAAATGGGGCCCGATCTTAATGAAATTCGGCAGGGTCATCAAGACTTCTATAAATCTTAGTTGTGCCGTATTTTATCGATATATCTGTATATTTAACATAATTATGAGCTCAGAAGTCCTTTTCGGGGGGTTCTGTTGTATGGGGGCTAGGTGAAATAATGGACCGATTTTAACCATTTTCAATAGGCTTCGTCCTTAGGTCAAATAAAACGTGCGTGCCAAATTTCATCCAATTATCTTGAAAATTGCGACCTGTACCTTGCGCACAAGATTTACATGGACAGCCAGCCGGCCAGCCAGACGGACGGACATAGCTTAATCGACTCAGAAAACGATTCTAAGCCGATTGGTATACTTTAAGGTTGGTCTAGGACGAATATTTTTGTATGTTACAAACATCAGCACAAATCCAATATACCCTCCCCACTAAACTGGTGTAGGGTATAAAAATAAAATTTTTTTATACGAAATCAATTATAAGTAGTAATTGAATATACATTTTTTGTTATAGATTGAACTTCAATAAATAAAATTACTGAAAACGAGGTTTTGGTAATTGAAATCGTTTTTCAGTTTTTTCTGTGTCTGAAAATTTCATAAAAAAGATAATTTTTTTCATGCATTGAGTATTTCGTTTCATATGTTTGGATGGCACTGTGTTTCATTGCCTTGTGTATATTGTTTTTGTTTCTTGGTGTATTCAGTTTCGTATGTTTGGATGTCTTTTGGTTTCATTGCGTTGTGTATTTTGCATTTTTATACCCTTCTATAATATAATTTTCCTACCCCATAAAGTATATATATTCTGGATCCTTATAGGTAGCGGAGTTGATTAAGCTATGTCCGTCTGTCTGTCTGTCCTTCTGTGAGTTTGTTGAAATCAGTTTTTAGAGGACCCCAGATATCGGCGAGATCCGAATCTTCTATAATTCTGTTAGACATGCTTTCGATCGCATGTTAGATCGCTATTTAAAATCAGCAAAATCGATCCATAAATACCGGAGATATGAGCAAAAATCCGAGACAACCTCTGAAAATTTCATAAAAAAACAAATTTTTCCATGCTTTGATATACGTATAGCAACAATAACACTGCTTATTCATTGAGTATTTCGTTTCACATGTTTGGATGGCTCTGTGTTTCATTGCCTTGTGTATATTGTTTTTGTTTCTTGGTGTATTCAGTTTCGAATATTTTGATGTCTGTTGGTTTCGTTGCGTTGTGTATTTTGTTTTTTTTTTTTTGAGTATTTCGTTTTGTATGTTTGGATGGCTGTGTGTATCATTGCCTTCTGTATATTGTTTTTGTTTCTTGGTGCATTCAGTTTTGTATGTTTGGATGTCAGTTGGTTTCATTGCGATTGGCTTGACAACTTTACGCATGAGAACATCGAGCGCGAACTTCCTTCTGATTTTTTTTTAATTTAATTTTGCTTTTTTTAAATTATTTTGAAGTTACGGACTTTTTTGCTTGTATATGAGTGGGTGCCCATACGGGGCTAAAATTTCTCCACTATGGAACATGAGGACGGGGACAACAGTGATGGTATGGAACATGTGAAGGTTTTGCCTAATGAGAACATTGCGGCTAAAAGAATGAGACTTGCTGGGGACAATTCTCCCTCTAAGATTGACTCTTCTGAATCTATTGGACGTAAGGGATCTGGGTTTTCTGGTGCTACCAACAGCCAGAATAGATTTGCTCTTTTGGGTGAGCTTGACTTTGATTATACTGGCGATGTTGATATTCATGCTGCTCGAGGTGGAGCGATGATTGATGACCCCACTGGGGACAATGCTACACAAAAGGGAGGATTTTGTCCTCCAATTTTCTTATACAATGTTAATGTAACACATCTTGTAGCGCAACTAGAGGCTAAGTCACCAAAAATAGTTTATAAAATTAAAAATGTAAATAAGCAAAAGAGTAAACTTTATATTGCAGACCCGGCTGTACATAATGAGATGATGGCCCTCCTTAGGGAGAAGAAAATAAAATCATATTCTTTTACACCTAAAGAATTTAGACAAATTTCTTTGGTTTTGCGTGGCTTGTATTATAAGACAGATGTACAGGAAATTAAAAGTGCATTAGACCAATTGGTCCCAGACACCATAAATAATATTAATAAATTTACAACGGCACTCTCAAGGAAAAACAAAGTGGATACCGGTCTATTTCTTGTTGTTCTTGCACCTGGAAAGAAATTAACTGATATTAGTCAAATTAAATACTTACTAAACCAAACTGTGATATGGGAGAAACCGAAAAGGAAGAACCATGAAATACAATGTCATAGGTGTCAGCTCTGGGGTCATGTTGCACGAAATTGCAACTCTGACTTTAAATGTGTAAAGTGTGATAAATCTCATCCTCCGGGGGAGTGTGAGCTGTCACAAATTCAGAACTCAAAACCGACTTGCGTTAACTGTGGTGAGGAGGGGCATCCAGCGAATTGGAGAGGCTGTGTCGCCTATAAGAAATATGTAAAGGGTAAATTGGAACGTTTAGACAAAGCCCGAAAAGATAATTTGCTAGTAAGTCGTAATGTTAGCAATGCAATAAAAACCACTACTGTCACACCCGGCTTAACCTTTGCAAGCCTTTTTCATTCCAATTTAAATAATAATAACTCAAAAAACAGATGCTCCCCAATTGTAGAGGAATTCCTAAAACTGTCAAAATTGTTTCTTGAACCCGAGGAACCAACATTGGAACAGGAAATTCACAAATTCCTGATTGATTATAAAAATATGCAAAAAAGTGAAGCGAAAGATGAGTTCTTACGTCTTTTAAAAAAAGTAAATGACAATTATGTTCCATAGACATTTAAATTTTCTCACATTTAATGTACGTTCACTTGTCGACGCCAGTCGACAAATTGACTTGCTGAATACACTTTCTCATAATAAAATTGACATAGCATTTCTTCAAGAGTGCCATTTACGTAAAAACCAAAGACTAAAACTAAAAGGATTTAATTTTATATATGACAACTCAGCTCTTGGAGTAGGTCTAGCAATCAAGGAGTCTATTGTATACAATATTATAAACTTTGCCGATATAGATTTAAAAGTCAAATTAATTCAAATAGAGCTAAATATGGACAATTCTCTGAGGAGAATTCTAGTTGGCTCAATCTATATACCATGCAATATTTCTACATCTAGACTCAATGACGGGCTTGACAAATTGTTGCAAACAGCTGGTAATTTTGATGGATTCATACTGGGCGGAGATTTAAACGCCAGGCATCCAAATTGGGGCGACCCATTGGAAAACTGCAATGGTAGAGTTTTAAATAACTGGCTACTTGACCACTCTTTGGATGTTTCACGTATTTGTGATGCTGGACCGTCCTACCCAAATGGTCCGTCCTATTTGGATCATTTCCTACTTAGTCCGCATTTTACAGGCTCTGGAATTTCTAACCTTAAAATATATAGTTGCCCAACA